TGACTGCATCAGATCCAAATGATAACTCTTTAATTTTGCGCTCAATAAGGTCTCTCACATCAAGGCAGTCGATCTCAACATACACAATATCATTAATGTCTACCTCCTGGATAACAATAGAATCATAATCATTCTTTTCAGTCTGTCTGGTTGATTTAATAGTTGAATTTGTGGTTGCAGCTGCTAATTTTTTTTTAGAACTATTCTTGTGTTTTTTGCAAATTTTATGTTGGATATCTTTTCAAATGAATTTATCTTCAGAATGATTATAGTTACAATAAGTGCATGTTTTATGATAAAGAGTTGATGATGCTTAGATATTATATTCAGATATGTGATTTTAGTACAGATCATTTTTTTAGAAATTTTTTTTCCATCATAGATCATGTGATATTTATTTGAAAATTAATATGTTTATTATTGTGTAACTGAGGCAACCAAGACAAAGAAAATATTGATAATGGATAAGGTAATTGTAAAGACAAAGCAATAATAAAAAAATTATGCACTTAGTCTCAAGAATTGATCAAAATATCAATAATATTCAGTTCAATTGTTAGCATAATAGTTTACTACTAATATATTGTACCAATTTTTTATTGAACTAATTTTTTAAGAAATTTTGCACAATTACATAACAAATACAGTCAGACCTCTATATAATCACCAAGTCCATCATGCCCTAATGTGGTAATTGTATAGAGGTGTGACTATAAACAAATATCAGATTAATATCATATGATCTTCAGCCAATCAATGATTAATTAATAATTCATTAGTCATAATCATCCTACATCTAAAAGTTTTTTTGTATTAAGTTAACTATCTTTTATTCTCTAAGTAAAGTTGTAAAGCTCATTATGACGAATCTAATGGTGGTTAAATCATCAAAATCGGTCTAGTAGTTGCTGAGATATCTTTGAAAAACGTTTTACCGACTAGATAAATTCTTTGAAGAATTTTTCTATAATCAGCAAAACATTTTTTGAAGATATCTCAGCATCCACTAGGCCGATTTTGATGATTTAACCACTATTAGATTAGTCTTAATAAGCTCTACTACTTTACTTAGAGACTCAAAGGTAATTAACTTAGTCAAATAACCTTTTAATTAATAATTAGTGATTATAAAGAGGTTTTTTTATTAATAAATTTGACTTAAAAATTATATTTTAATATGATAGTGATTATAAGTGATTTGTGACTATAATAAGGTTTTTTTACTATATTTTAAGTCCATTGTACAAAATTGGGTGCTTAAATAGAGGTGTGACTATATGGGGTGTAATTATAGGGAGGTCCGAATGTACGTTTAAGATAAATTATTGAACTAATTTTTTTAAGAATTTTCACAATTGCATAACAAATACATTTTAGATAAATTAAATTGCCCGCATTACAATTGCAAATTTTGATATATTAAATATGTAATGCATTTATTTAATAAATCAGTAAATCGAGTTTGATTTCATCAGTTTTCAAAATGGCTACTAGACATAATAGATTAATTTTGATCAAGCTAATCTAAATACATAAAAAAATATTGAAAAATATGGTTTAATTCGCTGAATATGTTATAGTTATTGTCCACAAAGTGGGCAATAATCAAGAATTAGATCCGAATCAGATGATCGGATCTAATTTTTGACTATTGACCGCTTTATGGATAATAACTGATTTATTCTCCCGGTCTTATTATACTTCCGTACTATTTTTTAAAATTAAAGTTATGTATTTCAAAAAGTTTAGCCTTACTATAATTACAACTACTTTATTTTTTTCTACTTTCTTTTTTCTGTGGCAAACAACTTTTACTTTTCGTTAGCAATTTCAATAATTTAAAAAATTTGGTATATCAATAAAAAAAAGTAAAAAAAGATAAATAATCAAAAAGAAATATAAAATTCCGGATCAGCCCGAATCTGGAATCCGGACAATAACCATGAAAAAATAGTACGGAAGTATAAATAAGAACTGGGGAATCAATTAAAATTCTTGACCATCCAATGAAACTTGACCTATGATTCTATGTTCTAGAGTCGATTTAAACATCGGTTTTTTCGTTTCTTTTTTTCAAGTGGTTATTTCTTTATGCGTGAAATAACGAGATTACAAAAGTGTCTAAGTCTCTAGAAGGGTTGAAACATTCAAAACAATAATGGCAATCACACGCTCTGTTTTCCTGGTAATGTGGTGGGATCCTTGCATTATTCTACGTAGTTAAACCATACGGAATCCAGAACCATGCAGAAAAAATTTCACACATATTGCATATTGTCT